ATAACACACTTATAGGACACCATTGCCAAGCCAAGGGTCCTATAAACGGACCCAATAGCAAAACTTGAAAACTAGAGCCACTCAACAATTGTAAGCATTATTTTCGTTCTCAGTGACCCAGAATTAGTAAAGTTTGACTACATTTATTTCAGAAGCATTTTGGCTGTAGAGCGCTGTTACCCTTAATTTCCCATTGGTGCTGCTGGAGCATTAGGTAGCCAAAAGAAATGGCTTCCTATGGAATATGCACATGCGGACAAATCTAAGGCCTCTGTAGAAAAATACAGAAAATCTGTATAATTCCTGTACATCCTTCAATGTTGGAATATAATAAACTAGGTAACCATTTAATTAAACCATAAGCTTTGCAGAGACAGTCTTTAGGTTAGTTGATACGATGTTTAACACTATAGTCCCTGAGCTTTGATTGGGACCACTAGGTGTTACTGTAGTATGAACAATAAATAACCATTTTGGAATTCCTCAACCCATCCTTTTTTCTAAAGAAGCCTAGTTCTAAAACCTAGATTTCCATTCTTCATTGAAGACAGTTTAATTATGAAACTAAAACATTATTAATCTCCAAGTGCTTTCCCTTCTGGAATAATGCTACAGGTGTATTTAGACTTCTGGAAAAATGCTGACCACAGCTGTAAAAGTAGTTCCTGTACCCTGATACATAAATTAGCTCTAGTTGTCAAGTGTGAAAATAAAGACAATTCCAGTCTAGCATATTTAGTCACTGAAGAAGGCTTCACTACTAAAGGGTACAGGACTGTTAAATTTAAGTTCCATAATGTATTAATTAAGGAATGTGTCTGGCTGGTCAACTGCATTGGTAGAATTTCTGTCTAAGGATCTATGAGTGAAATATTTTTATCCCTGTATACTTAGGCTTTTTCATTTAATAATTTTAAAAATATACATGTTGATTGTGGCTAAAATATTCCCTTAATAAATATTGAAAAGTAATAGGACAGTCCAAATATGGATACCTATGCACACAGCTTGGATATTAGTGAGAAAAAAATTACCTGTTTGATCTTTGATCATGCAAACACTTTTGCACATGCTTAACTTTACATTGCACACAGTGGGCCTTACATGTGTAAGGTAAAACGCATGCATATGTGTTTGCAGGATCGAGACCTTAGCATATAATTTATTTAAAAACAAAACAGTGTGACTGTCTCTATCTCTAGCTATTCATCTGGCAGACTGCAATTTGGAGGGGGTTTTCACTAGAGGATAATATAATTTAGGGTTTAGTTATCCTTTTTATGTGTTTAATTTGTCCAAGATTAAGAATATCCTCTCTGATTCCTGTTACAATATTTAGTAGGCTTCAAGTTAGACTCTATACTCTCCCTCCTCTTCCTTTTTTAGGGTACTATTACGGTTTTAAATAAAAGACTATAAAGACGGATAAAATGTAAGTTTTAGACCCTTACAATAGTAATCTGGATTCAAAAATGGAATCAGGATTAAAAGAATAATTAAATTCCAAAAATCACCCTGTATGTACAGGAACATCAAACTAAAATTAAAACTGTTAGTAAATAAACATATTTAAACTGAAATTATTTTTCTCTTATTTTCTCCACCCTTGCCTCTAAAAAGTCTCTATTGAGAACTAGAAAGGCTGTCACTTTGTAGTCTCAGGAGTCAGAGATCAATAACCTGATTTGCAGTTTTCTGTCTAGAAGGGAAAACTCATCCTTTAAACTAAGCACTGCCTTTTATTCCAGTCAACAGAAAAACATGAATCTTCCATGCACAACTTCCATCCATATTCTTTAAATTACTTCCCTTATCTTTCAGAGAAACTTCTTGAATGTGAATTTCCTTGTCAACTGGTATGTTAGCCTAATTTTCTCTAGTGTGTGCCAATTTAACTTTATACGTTGCCCTTTGTTATCACTGTTAAAGAAGCAGCAACAACAAAAATAAAATAAAATAAAATATACCTTCTTTGTGACCACTGCCTTCCTATGTTTCCATAATCTTATCTGAAAACATTTTCTCTCATGTTTGTACCTAGTAACTTACCTAGTTAAATAGCAGTAGTGGATAATTGCATTATCTAACATTATAGCATTATAGGATGCAATTTATATGAAAATATTACAAATTAAAGTTGAGTTTTGTTGCATAGCACGTTAGCGCTAAGAATGTTCAAGTTAAATCCTAATATTAACAGAATGACTTCCAAAAATGGGTGAGTTGGGATATGACACTTAAGGATCAATTTTCAAAGAAATCTGGGTAGAAGCGAGGTAAATATAAACCGTATATTGTTGTTTATTTGTAGCCATGTCAGTTCCAGGATATTAGACAGACAAGGTGGGTGCGATATCTTTTATTGGAGCAACTTCTATTGGTGAGAGAGACAAGTTTTTGAGCCACACACAGCTCTGTATAGCTGAAAAGGTTGTCTCTCTCACCAACAGAAGTTGGTCCAATAAAAGATATTACCTCATCCACCTTGTCTCTCATCCATATATTGTGGCATTTCTTAGGGATACAATCATTCTGAACGTAGATTTTGGAAGAAATTAAGGTACATACAGGTATTTTGAACTGCAAATCGTTTTTGCAGGATTAAATACAGTATTGTTAGGTGTATAAACTAGATAATCTAATAAGCCTTTTATTATATGTAGCTTCTTTGGTTCCATGATGGATCTTTAAAGAATAAAGATCAGAGAAAATTTGATATATATTTCTATTACCCTGGAGTTTTAAATATAGAGTAGTAGTGGAAATTTCCCATGTCTCCTGTATTGGTTTAAAATTCACTGGCTGGTGATGTATGTGGAAAGATTAACTTACATTTTTGGTAGATTTGGCTATTTTAAACTATCCTTTCTAAGTGTTTCTTAATCGGCATTTAAAAAATAACAGAATTGAATGCATTTTTTACTCTTTCTCTTTATATTAAACAGTACTTTTAGTCAGTCATATCCTGGATTCCTCAGTCAGAATTTATTAACTTTTTTTTAATCAGGCAAATTCCCACTGAAATCAATAGAATGAGTCTGGGTGCAGAATTTGAGCCTACGGTATTAGAATATATATTTCACAAATTTTTCTAGAATTAAATGTGGTAATAGTAAATCTGTGTAATATAAATATAAAGGTATTTTGCAGTTTTTTTCTTACTGTATTTTGTATCATAATAAACAAATTACACTTACATTTTAGCAATAGTATGATGATTTTGTATGAATTCTATTAGTTGTATCCTTTACCAGCAAACTGTACAAAATTATTTATGAACTTTGTAAACTGCTGTTTACATTAAACTCTAGTAGCAATTACATTTTGTGGTGGGCAACATGGATGAGTGGTACACACCTTCCGCATGGAATTAGAGATCCAAAAATGTAACCTTACATATGTTAGGAAATAATGGAACTGTACAGCTAAACACACAAAAGAGAACGGAATAGTTTGTAATTCTTTTAATGCAGAAAATCTGACTGTTTTGTTGTTTATTTTTAGGGGTCCATTCAGTGTTGTGCGGCGATGTATCAACAGAGAAACTGGGCAACAGTTTGCTGTCAAGATTGTCGATGTAGCAAAATTCACCTCAAGTCCTGGATTAAGTACAGAAGGTAAGGGAGAACTTTTAAGTAAATTCTTGCTGTTTATTTGTAAAGCAGTTTTTTCTGTGATGGACTTCCAGTACCTAATTGCTAACTTTAAAGATCCTGTTTGTTCAATGTTCCACATAAGTCTGAACCAAAGACTTCCTGTATCTGAAACTTGGAAATGAGTGCATCCTGCTAAATCTGCTCAAGTTTTAGTAGTTTTCATGGTTGTCTGGTTATAGGACTATGTACTAGGAAAGAAATTGTCTCAGACCTCTTCAGTCCTGCCTAGAATCCTTTCGGAGAGGAAATAGTTTTGGTTAGCAGGAGAAGATGTACAGAAAGGAAATAAACTAATAAAAGCATGTCCATCTATATATTCTTTTCAGCAGTCTGGATTTAGGAAGTAATTCCTTATGAACCATTAACTTGTCTGTGCTGAAAAATCCTCAGCATAAAAGGGGCAAAAGTTATACCAAGATGATGATTATACATAAAAGATTGCCACCAACCCATACAACATTTTTAAAAACAAAATTCTTACCTCACCCAATCTGGTTTAGGGCAAACCACTAAACCTTTTCTGAATTAAATTTGAAAATGATGTAACTTTATTTTAGGTGGATGAGTAGTTCAGTTTCTTTACATGGCCAAGGAAGACGATAGTGTTCTTTGAATGACTGTCCATGTGCATTGCACTTCTGGTGCTTATGTGCATGAGATTGGATTCTATTGGACGGCACTGTGTCTGAATGCTCTTGTGCACCACCACTCTACCCTCCACACACATTCGAGGATGTAAAGGGTGGTGCAAGCCCAGCTATCCCTCCGTTCCTTCTTACTGCCTATGGCTGTAAAACGAGTAGTGTTCTCCTTTTTACGCTGGTTTGGGGATAACACTAATAAAGGGGTGTTATTTTTAGGGATTTCCAGGTACTGGGATTTTGCTGCTTTGGCTGAAACCTGGAGTTCAGAACATCCCCCTCCTTAATGTAGCTGTTCTGTTCAATGAAGGGCACTCAAGGTGCCTTTTTTCCTTTCAGAATGGAGCCTGTCCCTTATAGATGTTGGTGATAGAAACTTTCACATTTTGTTGGGAAGCCCATTTGAACAACCTTGAAACATAAGGTATGCAGACTCCTCAGAAAACACTACTTCACCTAAATGTTATGGAGCTAAGAGCTATTTGTTGGGCATGCATGGTTTTTCTCCTGCTTCTGAAAAATTGGCAAGTCAAATCATGACGGACAATACAAAAGCCATGTTTTATGAAAACAAATGAGGTGAGCAAGTTCCATCCGTCTGTCAAGAAGCTTTATGTCTGTAGAACTTTTGTATCCTCCATGGAATTGAAAGCAGTACACCTCACAGGATTACAGAATGTGCTAGAAGATCACCTCAACAGACACTTCAGAAATGACCATATGGACAGTGAAGGACACTGTCCAAACATATTTCTCAGGTGGAGGGTCATCCAACCATAGAGCTCTTTGCCACCAGAGAAAACTGTGGAAGTGTCAAAAGCTTTGTTCCAGAGGAAGACCCAATGAGGGAATTGTGTCCAATGTATATATGATACCCTGGTTCCAGGGCCTGAGTTGTTTACCCTATAATTCCATTAACCCTGAACATTCTCAGGAAGCTCAGGCAGGATTCACCCAGGATCATCATCAAAAGCTCTAGCATAGCAGAAGCAGTTCTGAGTCTCAGATCTAAAGAGTCACTCCATCCAGCCTCCAATACCATTGCCTCTACAGCCAGATGTAATATGTAAAAAGACGGTAAGATACGCTATATAGATTCATATTTCCTGGACCTCATGGCATGGATGCTGGCTAATATATCTCAGTTGAACAAGTTCTCTCTACTGATGTCACAACATTCTTATCCACAGTACAAAGGACTCTACAAGGTAGACTTATTCTGCAAAGTGGTTCACTATCTAAGCACGCTAGTTATTTCAGTCTCTAGCTCAAATACCCAACGTACTGGACTACCTTCTATTATTAAAGAACTCTGGACTCTCCATGGCTCCCTGAGTGTTCATCTCACAGCCCATTTGAGCTCTCTACCCTTCAGTTATGGATATTCCACATTTTCACACCATATGGTAGCTAGATATCTTAAAGACCCTATGAAAGTAGCGTCCCTCTCCTTGAGATCTAAATGTTGTACTGGCAAGGTTAACGAGCCCACCTTTCAAGCCATTTGCTAATGTACTCTTTCTTCTTTCCATCAAAGCAGCCTTTCTGGTAGCAGTACCATTGGCCACACAGGTGACTGAGCTATTAGGGCTAATTACTCCTGGGGAATTTCTGCACCACTGCAGAGCTGCTGGACGCAACTAGGGGCTGCTGGACTCCGCAGAGTCCAGCTCGCAGTGAGTGGAACGCCCAGCCCGGTGGGGATGGAGGCTTCACGCTCTCGCTGTCTGGCTTGATCTTCATCCTCCCGGGGTTGGGAGGAGGGCATGGGAGACCCAGCTCTGGCAAAGGGTATGGAAGGGGAGGGTTACAGCACATCATGTCCCATGGTGGATCAGTAAAGAAGCTGGGGGAAGTAAAGGCTCTAGGGGTATAGGTTTCTGGGCAGGTGGGGGAGGGGGATGTGGGTTCTGGGGGCCCTCACTGAGGCCTTGGCTACACTCGCGGATTCACAGCGCTGCCGCGGCAGCGCTGTGAAGCACGAGTGTAGTCGCGCCGCCAGCGCTGCGAGAGCTCTCTCGCAGCACTGCAAGTCCTCCACCTCTCCCAGGGGAATAGCATGCAGTGCTGCAAGCGCTGATTACACTGGCGCTTTACAGCGCTGCACTCGCTGCGCTCGGGGGTGTGTGTGTTTTTTCACCCCCCCTGAGCGCAGCAAGTGCAGCGCTGTGAATTGCCAGTGTAGCCAAGGCCTGAGGCTGGGCTCTGGGGGCCTCATGCAGCCCCCTCCAGCTACTCCCAACTGGAATTAATTTGTTGTAAGGGATTCTTTAACTATCTACTCGGGGAATCTTTTTTTGTTGTTGTCTGTATTGTTGACGTACTTGTTGACAGGTATTTTGAAATAAATTACCAAAATAACTGAATCTGGAGTGATTATATTGTTGTTTTGCAAATAAAATATGCAGAATTTTAAAAAAATTGTGCAGAATTTCCCCAAGAGTATATGGTGTACCAAAGTTAACATGCAAACTCCTGGAGAATATGGTCTTAATATTCTCTATTAAGAAAGCTGAGATACAATACTGCAGTGTTTCAAAAAGATTGTTCATTTAAAAACTCTTTACTAAAAGAAAAGAGAGCAAATTGTGAACTTACTGTTGTACTTACTTTAAGAGGCTTCAGCCTGGAGTGAATTTTTACAGGAGAATTATAATCATAAAGATCTCTCTCTCTCTCTCTCTCGCGCAGTGCAAATGACTTTGCTCTCACAAAAACAATCAAGCTTTGAAAAAATTCTATCATCTCTGAATAGTAGTTGTTACTATTATAAATTGCTGTAGCATATTGCCCGAGTGACTGCTGGCTTGTAAGGAAAAAACTATTTACAGCGATGTTCTTTCCAAAAGTACACTCCATATGTATGGCACTTAAATACATGGACATAAAAAATTGCTTGGTGGCTATGCACGTTTTTACAATGGTTTTATAATAGAAGAATTTCATTTAATGCCTTGTAATGGTGTCTGACACCTAATAAATATAATATAGATTGAATTCTATTGGAGCTAAACATTAGTGTTCACGGTCTTGCGTATTGTGTTTTATCAGTTTCTGTAATGTTGTAATTCATCAGCTCTAATACAGTCTATTGATACCTTGTCACTGTTCAAGTGGCTGCATGGTCTACTCTACTGGATTAACACTGGGTATTGTGCATGATAACACACTACTGCAGTATTGCTGTCACTTTGTATTCTTTGTCCTTTGCAATATACAAATGTATATGAGAAGATGTAAACAGTTTGAATATTTTTAAATATCAATATAAATGAGGTTATCCTGTACTTTCTAGAACATTCTGTCATGGAAACGTGAAAAATTAGCGATGCTTTATTAAACTCGTGAAGTCTTTAAAAATCTAATAAGAATACCAAAATAATCCATGTAATTTCAGATAATTGTTAATAATAATGCTCTAAATTGTTGTTAAACAGAAATATGAACAGTGTTGTCCTTATTTCTGATACTTTTATGCCTCATGTGAAACTTTTACTACGCCTTTCTTTTTCTTTTTTTTTCTCTCATCACGCTTTCTGTAGCATTCTTCCTTCTCTTTTCTTTTCCAGTTGTGTGCAAAATCTTGCTTATTCAAGTAAGGATTTTAAAGCTTATGCTAATAGTTTCTTTAGCCAGTTGGCAGGAGAAATCAGTGAATGTACATTATTTTGCGTCCTTACCCTGAATGGTGACTGACACCATCATAACACACACCGTCTACAAAATTTGTCTAGGTTTGAAAGGCAGTTTTGTGTCCTGCATGGATTTTTTTTTTTCTTTTCTAGGGCCTAATCCAGTGTTCCATCTAATTTTTCCCACCCATATGCGGAATGAATTTTGTTATGTGCACCAATATGGAGGTGATGTGTGACACATATCCTTCATATTGGTACACATAACAAAATTAATGTGGTGGGGATGGGGCCGAGGAATTCTTGTGGGAGGGAGCTCAGGGCTGGAGCAGAGGGTTGGGTGCAGTGGGTGAGGGCTCCAGCTGGGGATGAGGGCTTTGGGGTGCAGGAGGGTGCTCTGGGGATACGGCAGGGAAAGAGGACTCTTCCCCAGTGCTCTCTCCTCGCAGCAGCACCTGGGCTGGGAGGGAGAGGCGCCTGTCCCCTCTGCAGGAGCGCTGGGGCTGGGGCTGCAGGATAGCCACCCCTCCCCTGGCCCCAGCAGGTCTGGGCTCCGGGGGCTGCCCGGGCCACGCCTGGTTCTGGGCTGCTCCATGCTGCCCTGGCTGCAGCTGGGTCTGGGCTGCTCTGGGGTCAGGCCACGTCGCGCCCGCTGTGCCAGGGTCAGGCCTGGGTCCCACCACCCCGG